ATGCATACTGATGAGGGTCCTCGTTGATGTTGATGGTTGTTTTGATGCGAGTCATGACCAGTTTTTCAAAGCATTTAGCGACTATCGGGGTGAGGGCCACTGGCCGATAGTCATTCAGACCAGTCACTGTAGAGCTTTTTGGGACTGGGATGATGGTGGCAGTTTCAGGCAGGTGGGAACTGTCTCCAGGGTAAGTGAGGTGTTAAAGATGTCTGCCAGCACCTCACAGAGCTGATCAGCACATTCCTTCAACACTTTTCCAGGGATGTTGTCTGGGCCAGTTGCCTTGTGCGGATTAATCCTCCTGAAGGTACTCCTTACTTCTGCTGAGGTCACGCTGAGATGCTCTTCATCCGGTGGTGAGGTGAGTCTGGTGCTGGGTGGTCTGTTCGGGTCTTCAAAGCGTGCATAGAACTTGTTGAGGGCATCAGGCAGAGATGGGTCTGGATGAAAGCAAATTTTGCATGTCATTCGGAAATCAAGGTGCCAGAGTCTGGAGGAAGACTGGGGAGAAGGAAATGCCAGAAGTCCAGTGTGAAGCACCCACAGTCAGTGATGGTCTGGGGTGCCATGTCAGCTGCTGGTGTTGGTCCACTGTGTTTTATCAAGGGCAGGGTCAACCCAGCTAGCTATCAGGAGATTTTGGAGCACTTCATGCTTCCATCTGCTGAAAAGCTTTATGGAGATGACGATTTCACTTTTCAGCACGACCTGGCACCTGCTCACAGTGCCAAAACCACTGGTAAATGGTTTACTGACCATGGTATTACTGTGCTCAATTGGCCTGCCAACTCTTTTTTGGGACAGGCATTTTGGGTTTTCATGAGCTGTATGCCATAATCATCAGTATTAAAACAATTAAAGACCTGAAATATTTCAGTTGGTGTGCAATGAATCTGAAATATATGAAAGTTTCATTTTTATCATTACATTATGGAAAATAATGACCTTTATCACAATATGCTAATTTTTTGAGAAGGACCTGTATGTCCATGAATAATATGCCAAATAATCTCTGCCATTTTTAAACAGCTTGTTCTGCTATTCACTCTTGATTTTTTTTGTTTTTGGTACCCCATGTACTGACAAACAGGCCAGCACCTGGCTGAACTGTCAGCAGGTTAGCATATCGCTAAAGACACAGTCCCAGTCTCAACTGTGGAACAAGATGGCTAAAGTGTTAGCCGTCTTGTTAGTCGTTAGGGACTGTGTCTTTAGCGATACAATAATCTGCTGATTTATTAATGTTGCAACACCTCACTGTTCCTCTCGTAAGGCAGACACGGCTAAATGAGTTTTATACTGTGGTTTGTTTCAGGGAAGGAGGCTGAAGACTGTCGGACATGCAGCTGCAGTTCACACACACTAACGTCATGAAGGCAGAACAACTGAAGAGAATTATTATTTAATATATGTAAATAAAGGTCTAAAAAATTAATTAATATATGTAAATATTTTATTTTATAGACCTTTATTTTGTACAGTTACAGCTGTTTGTTACTATAAGTGCCTGTGTGACAACTGGGACAAACATTTGACTCAGAAATATATCTTTGTTATTACTTTATGGGAAGAAAAAAATATTGATATATACATATACAAACCGGATTCCAAAAAATGGTAAATGGACTGTACTTATATAGCGCCTTTCTATCTTATTTCAAGATACTCAAAGCGCTTTACACTACAATCTGTGCCTCATTTGCCCATTCATACAGCACTCTACATCTCTACAAAGCTAACTGAACAAATCATTCTAATGAGACTAATCAGTGCTTTAACTCACAAACACTGATGGGACACACATCAGAGGCATTGAGGGGTTCAGTGTCTTGCCCAGGGACACTTCGGCATGTGACTGCAGGTGGATTCAAACCCCCAACTCTCGCATTGGAGGACGACTGCTCTAACCACTCAGCCACAACCGCCCAAAAAAGTTGGGACACTAAACAAATTCTGAATAAAAACTCAATGCAATGATGTGGAGATGGCAAATGTCAATATTTTATTCGTAATATAACATAGATGACAGATCAAAAGTTTAATCTGAGTAAATGTAACATTTTAAAGGAAAAATATGTTGATTCAAAATTTCAAAGTGTCAATAAATCCCAAAAAAGTTGGGACAAGTAGCAATAAGTGGCTGGAAAAAGGAAATTGAGCATATAACGAACAGCTGGAAGACCAATTAACACTAATTAGGTCAATTGACAACATGATTGGGTATAAAAAGAGCTTCTCAGAGTGTCAGTGTCTCTCAGAAGCCAAGATGGTAAGAGGATCACCAATTCCACCATTGTTGCGCAGAAAGATAGTGCAGCAATACCAGAATGGTGTTACCCAGTGTAAAATAGCAAAGACTTTTAAGTTTTCATCATCAACCGTGCATAACATCATCAAAAGATTCAGAGAATCTGGAACAATCGCTGTGCATAAGGGTCAAGTCCGTAAAACTCTACTGGATGCTCGTGATCTCCGGGCCCTTAAACGTCACTGCACCTCAAACAGGAATGCCACCGTCAAGGAAATAACAGAATGGGCTCAGGAATACTTCCAGAAAGCATTGTCAGTGAACAAAATCCACCGTGCCATCCGCCGTTGCCAGCTGAAACTCTACAGTGCAAAGAGGAAGCCATTTCTTAGCAAGCTCCACAAGCTCAGATGTTTGCACTGGGCCAGGGGTAATTTAAAATGGAGTGTGGCAAAATGGAAGACTGTTCTGTGGTCAGATGAGTCACGATTTGAAGTTCTTTATGGAACACTGGGACGCCATGTCATCCGGACCAGAGAGGACAAAGATAGCCCAAGTTGTTATCAACGCTCCGTTCAGAAGCCTGCATCACTGATGGTATGGGGTTGCATGAGCACTTGTGGCATGGGCAGCTTGCATATCTGGAAAGGCACCATTAATGCAGAGAACTATGTTCAGGTCTAGAACAACATATGCTCCCATCTAGACGTCATCTCTTTCAGGGAAGACCCTGCATTTTTCAACACGATAATGCCAGACCACATTCTGCAGCAATCACAACATCATGGCTACGTAGGAGAAGGATCCGGGTACTGAAATGGCCAGCCTGCAGTCCAGATCTTTCACCTATAGAGAACATTTGGTGCATCATAAAGAGGAAGGTGCGACAAAGAAGGCCCAAGACGATTGAACAGTTAGAGGCCTGTATTAGACATGAATGGGAGAGCATTCCTATTTCTAAACTTGAGAAACTGGTCTCCTCTGTCTCCAGACATCTGTTGAGTGTTGTAAGAAGAAGGGGGGATGCCACACAGTGGTAAAAATGGACTTGTCCCAACTTTTTTGGGATTTGGAAAACATATTGAAATTTGGAAACAACAGATTTTTCCCTTAAAATTATACATTCTCTCAGTTTAAACTTTTGATCTGTGATTTGTGTTCTATTCTGAATGAAATATTAGATGTTGGCACCTCCACATCATTGCATTCAGTTTTTATCCACAGTTTGTTTAGTGTCCCAACTTTTTTGGAATCCGGTTTGTATTATATCACAATTTATCTTAAAATATTGAGATATTAATTTTGGTCCATATGGCCCAGCCCTATGTAATAGTATGTATTAATACACAATTTATACTCAAGGCCCGTGTGCTCACCTCACTGCCTTGCCCCAGCATGTGTAAGTTCTCCAAGCAGTGTCGTGTCAGGTTTCTCAAGGTTCCCTCAGCCAGTAGCAAGTTCTCATGAGGCTCACAAACCAGTGTGAAGCCCAGACTCTGGACCCCCAGCCACAAGGCGCTCATCTCTGCTGTGAAAGGGTCTCTTGCTCTAAGACGCACCACTCCACTATCTGCATCCTGCATGGCAAGAGCCTCTTCACCTGGCACCGTCTCCACCAGCAGCCGACCTGAAGCCTCCCGGGACAGAGAGATGGCACTCCTGACCTGCCTGAGTAGAAGCACATCAGCTGTCAGTGCTACAGGCAGCAGTGCTGCACAAAACACATTAAAGATGAAAACTTACAAAAAATATATTTGGACCTTATTTACATGATTTGAACTTGTTTTGTTTTGTTTCTTTTCTACAGTGCACGGAGAGGACTTATTTGTGAACTGGCACTATATAAATGAACTGAATATTAATTCAGTGTTTTATATAATATGTTCTAATGGTTTTAAAATGAAATAAACTTATTTGCTTAAAATTCATTCATCCATCCATCATTTTTTACAGCTTCTTCCTTTTCGGGTCACGGGAGTCACTGGCGTCCATAACCAGCTATCACTGTGAGATAGGCAAGGGACACCTGGACAGGTCTCCAGTCCATAACAGGGACACCTGGACAGGTCTCCAGTCCATCACAGGGACACCTGGACAGGTCTTCAGTCCATCACAGGGACACATAGAGACAAATTAGACAAAAAAAATTCACTCTCTCTCACATCTAGAGACAATTTAGTTACCAATCAGACCAAACATTTTGTATCAGTCTTGGTGACTTTGTGTCCTCCACTGCTCGCCTCTAATGTGGGGTCCCCCAGGGCTCGGGCCTGGGCCCACTAATATTTTCTCTTTACTCGCTTCCACTTGGTTCCATACTTAGGAAGCATGGTATTTTCTTCCACTGTTATGCCGATGACAGTCAGATTTATGTTCCTCAAAAAAACAGATATGTACTCTGTCAATCCATTGCTCAGGTGTCTTGATGACATAAAAGCCTGGATGGCTCTAATCATTTTAAATTTCAATGAGAAAAAAACAGAAGTGATGGTTTTTGGTGGTACCACTGGCACCCATCCTGTAGATCTGGGACTCTTGGCCCAGTTCATCAAGCCCACCATTACAAATCTTGGGGTGAAAATGGATATGGATCTTAAGCTCGACAGTCAGAGAAGTTCAGTTGTTAAATCAAGCTTTTTCCAGTTACGGCAGCTAGCTAAAATACAACCCACAGTAATTCATGCCTTTGTGACCACTAGGCCGGATTACTGTAATGCTCTTTATGTGGGGGTTAGTAGCTCCTCCATTGCCCATCTTCAGATGGTGCAAAATGCTGCTGCACATCTTTTAACTGGCACATGTAAACATGAGCACATTTCCCCTAGAGCTGTATACCGAACCAAGGTTTTTATATGGCACCGACCTAACTGCACCGGTCGGTGTATGGATTGAAACGTCACTCTTCTTTCGGTGTCAAGTTTCGGTATTGGCTGTAACGGGTCACGTGGTTTCAGCACGCAGGCAGGTAAAACACCAGACATATGACAAACAGACTACGTGTTTACACCCAGATCTGTATAGAGCTGCCCTACAGCTGTATGTCTACGGTGCTGATTCCGCCCACAGATGGGGTTCACGTGTGCAGTGCGTATGACGTTGAACGACTTCAATTTACAAGAGGAAAGTTGCTCCATGTTTGTCTTCAAGGGGGACTGCAGCCTCCCACCTCCTCTCAGTGTTAAAGTCAGCCTGTGAGTGTTGAACGGCCTGATTCATTATCTCCACGACCAGACTCCTCTTTATCAAAGAACTCTGAGGATGACGCTGTGTCTGGGATTTCATCTGGTAAGTTTACGTTTGTTAACATTACTGCAGCTTAATATGTGCATCGCGGTGAGTTAAACTAGGATCCATGTAACGCTAACTTGAAGATATTAGTGTGTAGCTTTATTTTATGGCTATCTATGTAGCTAGTTAAAATCAAAAGCTAACTAAAGATTGACACTAACAGATAAAGCTTGTAAAAATGTGTTCATCCAGTGGATCAGCTGCTTAAACAGTTCACTAATGTTCACTGTTTGTTTATGTTCTCCTCACAATAGTTAGGGAGATGATCAGAGCCCTAAACCCCAGAGAACCACAGAGAAGTTTCAGGAAGAGACACATAGGTGCAGAAGTCTGCATAAACCCTAACCTCAGTGAATCCAGTGACCTGCTGGTGGAATGTGAGGGACAGTGATATCAAACTGACAACCAGGTATCTGTGTGTGCAACAAGCATCATCCACACTCTCAGAGTGAACATTTTCTACTGCTGGAGACACAATCAGCCAGGAGTGGGCTTGTTTGGGTCCAGAGAAAGCAGACGTTGAGTTTTCTGAATAAAAACTGTTCAGTGAAAAGGTCCTCAGTGTGTAGCAGTGAGCATTAGACATTGGTTTGAAACTGTTCTTTTGAAATAGAAATTGTTTATTTATTTTTATGTAAGAAAACTGCTTGGAATGGAAAAATACCATAGTTAAAAAATAAAACTCAAGATTTGTACTGTAATGTGTAACGTAATTTTATTTTTGTTAGAAGTGATATAAATTACAAAATTGGTACCGAAAAAAGAACCGTCCAGGAACTGACACCGAAGTGAAGGTACCAACACCAAATTTTTTAGAAAGGTACCCAGCCCTAATTTCCACCATTTTAGCCTCACTTCACTGGTTGCCCATACATTTGAGGATCAGTTTTAAGATTATTTTATTTACTTTTAAATCTCTCAATGATCTTGCCCCACTTACCTCTCCGAGCTGCTACATCCTTATACCCCTCACGTGCTCTCAGGTCAGCTGATCAGCTGCTCCTGAGTGTGCCCAAAACAAAGCTCAAGCTTAGAGGTGATCGTGCCTTCGCTGTAGCAGCTCTTAAACTATGGAACGGCCTACAGACAGGACTCCTCACTGTCAGTTTTTAAATCCCATCTTAAAACCATATTTTTTCCAAGGCTTTTGACACCATGTGAGATGTTGATTTTATGATTGTTATTTATTTGATACTCCTTTTACTGTTTGAATTTTTATTGCATAGCTGTTTATGTCTTTTTAATTATTATTTTTTTATTTTATTTTATTCTTTGTTGTGCTTTTTAACTTGTCTGTACAGCACGTTGGTCCTGTATGGGTGTTTTTAAAGTCCTTTATAAATAAAGTTTGATTGGATTTCAAACAGAAGCTCGCTCTTCGTCTACGTTGGAATATGTTAACAGCTATGTCTATATGTTGGTAAATTTAATTATGGTTATTTTTTTGCAGCAGAATAGTAATGAAAGTCTTTTCCAGTGAGCCTTATCTAACACTTGTTGTAACTGGAAGGACATGAGACATCTGCAGAGAAGGTTGACCGCCTGTCCTGGCCAAGATGATTCTTGGCAGGCGGTTTATTGTGCACTTTGAAATAGTAGCAGAATGCAGAAAGAAGAGCAGAAGTGTGACAGTTAATAAATGCAAAGAATAATCAAATGGATAAGCTTCACAAAACTCTAGGTAATAATAAAGCAAAAGTGTTTTCAAGAGTGACTGTGACTGAATTCCTGCAAAAGGATTTCTCACCACAGTTTACTAAAACTTTTACCAACAGTGTCCCTATGCCAACATTTAGAGATTATTTTTAAATACATGTAACTCACAAAGGTCGCTGAAGTCATTTGAATGTGACAAAAGTAGAAAAGTCTATTAATAAAAAAATAGTCAGTGCTTTTGAATATTCTGATTCAAAGGCATTTTGTCAAATTAAACTGGCCTTGTCCAAAATGGTTCCCTTAACTTTACATTTTGTTGCGCACCATGTTGAGACAATCGTGACATTTTTTAACCCTCAGAGATGTCTGCACCTGTTCACAGGTATTTTGTTCCACTCCTCAAGAACAAACTACTCCAGCTGTCTCAGGTTTGACTGTTTCCTTCTCCAGATGTTTCAGCTCCTTACACAGATGTTCAACAGGATTTACATCAGAGCTCAGAAGGCCACTTTAGAATAGTCCAACATTTGGTTCTGAGCCATTCCTGGGTGTTTTTAGTCAGAGTCTGAGATTCTTTATTGTCATTCGCACCTTATGTGCTTTTGAACGAGAACAGAATCTTTGAGATTTTTCAATCTGGCTTTAAGCAACTACACAGCACTGAAACAGCATTAGTAAGGGTTTGTAACGATATTATGATATCAAACGATTCTGGTGAATTTGTAGTACTTGTGCTCCTGGACCTTACTGCTGCTTTTGATACTGTTGACCACAGTATCCTTATATCACGGCTGGAACAGTGGGTTGGGATCACAGGTGCTGCATTAGAATGGTTCCGCTCAAACCCGAGTGGCAGGAGCTTCTGTGTCAAGGTTGGTAATAATGTATCTGCCTCATTACCTCTTTCTTGTGGGGTCCCACAGGGTTCGATTCTTGGACCCCTTCTGTTCTCACTTTTATTTGCTCCCACTGGGGTCCATCCTGAGGAAACATGGTCTTTCATTCCATTGCTATGCTGATGACTGCCAGATATACTTGCCTGTGAAACCAGCAAGTGTTTGCTCCATTCACCCTCTGTTAAAATGTCTGGACGACATTAAGGCCTGGATGGCTTCAAATTTCTTAAGTTTTAACAATGAGAAGACTGAAGTCATTGTTTTTAGCCCTAGCTCAACTGCCGCCACTGATCCTGTCAAACTGGAATCTCTTCAGCCATATCTGAAGCAGTCTGGTAAAAATCTCGGGATGGTTTTAGACTCTGACTTCAAGTTTGACAAACAAATCAATTCTGTTCTGCAAAAAAGCTTCTTCCAACTCAGACAGGTAGCTAAGCTCAAGCCAGTATTGTCCAGACCCGACCTTGAGAAACTAGTCCACGCCTTTGTCACAACCCGATTAGACTACTGTAATGCACTCTATGCTGGGATCAGCCAGACCTCCATCTCACGTCTTCAGCTCGTCCAGAATGCTGCTGCTCGGCTTTTATCCGGAGCTCATAGATATGAACATATTACTCCAGTTCTGTCCTCCCTTCACTGGCTCCCTGTTTGTACAAGGATAAGTCTTTCTGTTGACCTTCAAGTGCCTAAATGGCCTCGCACCCCTTTACCTCTCTGAGCTTCTGGAACCTTACGTTCCCTCTCGGGCCCTGAGATCATCCGATCAGCTGTTTTTGGCTGTTCCAAAAACAAGACTGAAGCTCAGAGGAGATCGGGCTTTTTCAG